AGAGCGAGAGAGGGAGAGCGAGATTGAGATCGAGCGAGAGCTTGGTGGTGGTTGATCCTGAGGGTAACCACACCTCAGGTGAGGGGCAAGGTTGAGAAGGTGAGACCTTCATGGCAACCTCAGCCGGTATGGGAAATGCCATTGGCATCACACTGCATTGTAAACCAACCATCCAGCCAACTGAGCTAACTGAACCACCATACCTGAACATATTCACAAGCGGCTACCAGTGTACTTTTCCCAGAAAGACCATACACGTTCGTTACACATAAGAACAGCATGAACTCTATTACATTATACAAGAACTATCTGGAATGGAATTTATCATAATTCAAAATGAAACATTCAATCTTCTTAACACGACAATAAACTTATATACACCCAAACCTCAATGACAGGACACCCCTACCTCCACACGAAAACCTCTTGTTCAGCTGGTTTGGCTGTAATCCATTTCCTTTCCAGCAAATTTCTGTGATCAATGCTAGTTGCTTCATTTAAAGTGTTTTCCCAAAACCTTAACAGAAGCTGCTAACTAAACATTATAACTATTGACCATGGTTCCCTAAACTCATGTATTTAACAGCCTTGTAGGATGTTTTCCTCTCTGAACACAGCCTTCTGCTTCTAGAGTTTCTTTCTTAGCAACTCAGGACTACTGCACAGGCCTGCCCTGATTGTTTTGGACTGTTTCGACATACTAACAGCACTTGTTCTGTTGTAGACCTTCTCTCCCATCTTCCATCTCTGGAAAACAGCTGTTAAACACAAGTTTGCAAACACCTCAGCAATTATCTCCCCAGGGGCTTGCTGGTCATTTAGTGAAAAATCACATGATTTTTTGGAAGTGCTGTTTTTAGTTCATTGTTCAAAATGATTTTCTTATCTATTTAAAATAAACAAGTCATACCTTCACAGAACTGAAAACTAACATGGATTTTTTACTCCACTTTCGAACTTCAATTTCTGAATAATAACAACATATTATAAGCTTTCATCAGACACAAAAATATTTGAAGTGGACATGCTTTTAAAAAAATACTCCTCAAACCAGTGGTAAATCAACATCTATAATTTATGGAGGAGGATTAGGAGTTTGAAGAAATAAAACTGTGATATACTATCTTCAGCTGCAACATTAAGTCATTGAACTTAGAAACTCATATTAAGAGCTCCTTTTGATAATTGTTTTATTCCCAGATTTTATTATTTCAGAGTGACAGGGCTTACTGCAGGTGAGGGAAGAGGAAGATAGGGCCCCAGCAATCCATCACATGTTCTGCTCTGTCTGTTTTTTGTTCAAGATCATAAATGCAATGCAACACTTACAACCATAACATTTTATCCAAACAATAATTCAATGTCAAGTTCCAACATGCACTTGATCATTTTTATAGTAATTATCATTTTTCACAGAATCACATTTTAAAATAAACAGATTATTCAATAAAGAACCATTGAAGAAAATTAGTTGCTTCCAGAAAAAAACCTTTAATAATATTGTTTAAACTTGAACACATCCTTTCAAAAGCTTTAAACAAAAACAGAAATTGCCAGAGAAACTCAGCAGGTCTAACAACTTCCATGGAGAGAAAGCAGACTTAATGCTTTGGGTCCAGTGATCCTTCTTTAGAACTAGCTGACTGCTTTCATGTTACATGTGCTTTGCTCCTAGGGAGTCCTAGATTTTTATCCCTATAATTCTACCCTCCCCCAACGAACTGAAGGTAGCTAAAATGTCTATGAGCCTGGGCCATCTGTGCCATGGAGTATCAGTAGCCTCATTAAAAGCAAACTTCATAGTGATTGTACACATCTCACATTGCTGACTCAAATGAATTTTGGATCTTCTGGTTTGCAGTTTATCCTTCAAATTAACCACAATGCCTTTCAAACTTCCTGAGACTATAATACCCGAGCAATGTAAGAGATAAAATAGAAATCAGACTCAGTTGCTCGACTTTTGAGTTCAGACGCTGTAAGTTGAACACTACTGCATTGGCCATGCAAAAAGGTGGTTCTCAGGGTTACTTGATCCTAAAAATATGTCCACGCTGAAATGTGTCCAAACTTTGATATATCCTAATTAACCTTTCATGAAAGTAAAGATTAGATATTTAAAACAACTTACATTATTCTGCTGTAGCACGCGCAGCACTCGGGTGACGTTGTTAAGAGCATGTACCCTGGTAGTGCCACGTTCTTTGGTCTATTGGAGGAAAGAAAAATTTTAGAAAAGAAACATAACTAACTCTCTTTCAAAATTCCATGGATTCTGGAATGATGCCTACAGATTGGAGGACAAATTTAACCACCATCTAAAAAAGGGAATACAAAAAACAGGGAACTTACAGACCTATTAGTTTGACATCAGCAATAAGGAAAATACTGGCATCTATTACAAAGACTGTGATATGATTCTGATTGTGTTACGACACAACCAGACTGCCAAACCAAGTCAGGCTTTCTACCTCTGCATTTGCAACACAGTAAAATTAAAATCTTCACAGATCCTCAAAATTGACCTCAATGGTTTCTAAGCAGACTTTTGAATAACCAATCCCAGACTCTGAATAAACAATTCCATACACCGACTTGTAACTTAAACAAAAGACTTAGCAACTTATTAATAATATAGTAAATTTAGCAAAGCAAAAGTTAAATAACAAAGTATTCTAATTGGTTTAGCTATAACACCAAAAACCTTTGTCTTCAGCCCCATTCACACAAAAGACAGATGGACCAACAAACACAATTAAGGGAAGAATAAAAGAAAATAACAAAACTAAATACTTAAGTGGTTTTCACAATGTGTTGCTCCACAGGCATAGGTGATGGTTTCTTGATTAATTTTCTAAAAATGTTGATCAAGATCATCTTTACAGTTCACTCAGATAAAGGCAGTAATACTTTTAACTTAGTTTTTTATTTCTAGTTTTCTTTTCCAAGATTTGCTCTTCTGAGGTTAGGCAGAAAGCTTTCAAATCTTAATGCCGTAGCATCTACAGCCAGATCCCTTTTTACTGCACTCTGGAGTAGTGAATTCCACAGATTCATAATACTAAGAGAAGTAATTTCACCTCATTGGTTTTAAATCTGCTACCCCTTATCCTAAAACTACAACCTCTGATTCTAGATTGCCCCAAAAGAGAAAATATTCTTTCTATATCTACTTTGTCAATCCCGTTTAGCAGCTGATAGACCTTAGTTAGATCTCCTCTCATTGTTCCGAACTCCAGACAATTTGCCTAAACTGCTCAATTACTCTTCATAAAACAAACCATGCATCTCTGGAATCAATCTAGTGAACCTCCTCTGAACTGCCTCCCATATAACTACATCCCTCCTCGAGTAAGGAGACCAAAATTGTCTGCATATTCCAGGAGACGTCTCATAAAACCATAAGAAAA